AGACTGAATATTGGATGTCAGCACTCTTCCCTTCTACAATGCCCAGACTTGCCATGATCAAGGCTAGAAACAGCTAAGTAAAAATACAAGCAGGAGACCAACAGGAGACAACAGGGGACCAGCAGGAGACACTATTTTTCCCTGCAAGAGGGTCGTACTGGTGGTAACAAGTGTGGAAAAATTAAGGTTAGACAAAAAAAAGATAGCATAGCCTAAGAATTTAATCTGGCCCTGCAACTAAATACTTTATAATGATGTGCTCTCGTTGCAAGGATCTCAAAGTGTTTTACACTAAGCAAGTGCTCAACATCCTCCCCAATTCCTGGCATGTGAAATTAAGAAAGGCTAGGGTGGGCTGAATGATTTATCTACAGTCCTACAGGAAAACCCTGGTGACCCCAAAAAGACTTTCTGCATCTGGACCTCTGGTGGTGGTGGTTTTGGATTATTTTTTTTTTTAAAACTCATTAGATGAATATTATTCCTGTGAGAGAGCAATAGATCTTATCCTATAGCCTCTGCCAGAACAAAAGGAGTAGGAAGCAATAGACAATAAATCCTCCCATTGAAGTGAAAACCTGAACAGCACTCTAATCAGTTTTGAAAAGAACAACAGAACTTTCTGACACTAAATACACATAAAACTGTATTTTAAGCCCACAGAGATACAGAATATTAAAAAGGACAATTCAATATAGAGATGCGTGGATGGGAGTGCGGTTCAGGATGAGGTTTTGGGCTTCTGGAAAAATCTCATCCCCTCCTGTATGAAGGGAACTAACTACAGCTACTGAACAGCCCACGAGAATTAGAGGGAGACAACTTCAAACACGATAACTACCTATTGCTGTACGACAGCACAGATTGCAGCACGTTGCTCATTTCCTGACAGATTTGTTGCTGGTCTTTGTACCAACCTGGGACAAAGACTGCGTACACCCAAGGAACAGCAGAGAATCAAGTTCCGGAAAGTAAAGTCTCAGCAACCATAAGCTAAACAAAACGTTATTCTCTACACTGAGTCTCTTTGGGTGATAAGTACTGAGAACTTTCCGGGGGATACAGAAGTAGCAAGCCAATGCAGTTTTTGCAAACTTGACCCATTCCCTATTTTGAGTCTGCAACACTGACTGCTTTAATTGTGACAGATGAGCAGGACTTCAGGCTCCCTCCAGCTTAACTGTGGGCTCCACAGACTGTCTAGACTCAGTGCTTTGGAATATTTACTGAAAAGGAGCAGCAACAACGTATTAAAGAGCAGCACGCCACATGTAAGAGAGCAACCCCTCAGAAATACTAGGCTTTTGACTTATCCCTGAAAAGGGTGCTAAATAGGATCCTATATACAGCAATGTGACCAAGTCAGAACGCGGCATCTGCATGTGAGCTCTGCCTACAGAAAAGCTGAGTCCCATGTGCACATAGTTTGGCCAAGGGCTCCAATCTCATCTGTTCTCACCTTGGACGTGCTGCTCTCTTTCAAGCCGGATCTGTTCTTGAATGAGTCTCTGCTGCTCTTCAAGCTGGCGAGAGCCTTCTTCACGCAGGCGTATTATCTACAGCAGAGTTAAGACAGCACGGATACCTAAGGGCACAGTTCCACGGCTGGGTCATGGCAGCTAAAGACTGCCAAGGAGAGCTTTAGTCTTATACCCATCTCCCGGGGCAAGCCCCCTGCTAGCTCTCCTGTGACAGCTCCAGTGCCCATAAAATCAGACCCCTTATGTTCCTAGTGACACAGTTCCTATCAGCCAGCATATACCAATTAGCTGTTGGTATTGTCTGCTAGGCAAAAGGAAAAGGGCAGGCAAAAAATAAACCCAAGACTGACACATTTGCCAGACTGCTACAAGATCCCTTCTACATGTCTCTCTTTCACAGAGCCCATTAATCCAAAAGGCTGAAGGATCACTATACATAGATCTGCTGCTTCTCATCACGTGGTTTTCATGATGATTGTAAAGACTTTCAGCAATTTTTCTCAAAAGAAGCAGAGAGATTTAAGGATTTATCGTTACCTCTTGTTCTAATGATCTTGTTATCCTGATCTCCTCCTCTTCACTCTCACGGGTCTGGGCTTCTCGTTCTCTGGCTTCAAGATCTGCAGAGAAACAAATAAAATTAAAACAATCCAAAGAGAATTATCACTGCTGACCAGAGGTGGGTGGAAAGATCACAAACTTGGCGACACCTACACCAGCTTCAAAGCAGAGTACTGATAGCTCTGCTACCTCTCCCCTGCCCAGGCACATCAATATATCGGCAGTCTCAACGGTCATCCAGCCCCCCAACTCCTTCCCAGAGCAGGACCATCCCCAGCTGTGACAGTTGGAGATTTCAGATGGGTACTGTATCGTACTGGGCATAATGAAACCAGAGCCATGACAAATGCACAGCAGATTAATCAACAGTGAATTCCAGTGAAGTGCAAACACCCAGCTCATGAAGACTTCGAGCCAAGAGAAAATGAAATTTTTGTTTTATTACCAAGCTTTACTTTCTTTCGCTTCTCATCAAGTTTCTGTGTCCTTTCTGCTGCTTGCTTCTTAGCCTTTCGCACTTTGTCATAAGCCGCCTGTCAAAGAACCAACACAATAATGTGAAACTACATAAAGCAGAAAAAGATAAAATGGAAAGCAGTGAATAAAGGCGAGATCAGATACTGAAACACTGCAAGCAGAGGTGAAGCATTTTCTGCCTCTTGCTAGCATTCCTCCTAAAAGTGTTGGAAGTTAACACAAATATCCTGAAAACATGAGAAGAGGGCCAAAGATCTCCAGATGGAGCCTGAAGGGTAAGAAAGTCCCGGAACAACTGCAAAATGTACTGGAGAGAAAGCCTGACCCATCTTCAGAGGTGGGAAGAATATTTTGGTTCCCTGAACATGCCAGAAGTAGCTTATGGGGCACTGGTACCAGATCAGGGTTGGAGCAAAGTTTTACAATTAAGAAAGTCTATTTTATACAAAAAGATTTATTCACAAGACATGTTTGACTCACATGAACGTATTAGACCAAAGAGCATCAAAATTCTTCAGCAGCAACACATCAGCATCCACTTAGCACTATAGAGACTTAAGAACTGGGGTAAACTGGCCATTTCCCTGGCATCTGTTTAAACTAGTTGCTAACGTGTTCATCAGCCTACACAGAACCTTTCTGTAGTAGGTAAAGCACAGATCAGCACAAATACTTGAATATTACTTGTAAAATTGTTCTACAGGAAGGCACTGCTCTTGTTCTATGAGCTAAAAAAGCTGATATTTTTCCTTCCTATGGAAAGGGTTCGCTATATACTTTTTCCTTTTTAAAATGTAGAAAACAAAAAGTTCTTGGATGCCAAAAGCATAATTGCCCCTTGGAGGGGAGATTATAAGCTTTGCCAGTGTTTGGAAAGAGGAGAATGATTTCATGTTTTAAACCTTATCACTTGAAATTTTAGTATGCCTTCTCTCCTGAGTTTATCCAGATAGAGTTACTTACTCATTTTTATTTCGTTTTCATTCTTTTCCTTCACACGTCCAGATTACTCTCAGGCCTTGAGCAGCAGGCACTCAGCTGCTTCCTCACAGCAAGAACAGAGTCCAAGCTACCTCTGGCAGCCCGCAAAGCTCTTGCGGCGAAAGGACAGAGATCGTGACTATGATTCAGCTTTTTTGTTTCCAAGTCTCTTGTGCCCCATGGTAAAAAAGGCTTTGAGCCTTAGCAATCACATCCAGATATTATTTGTTTGTCAGACCCTGACTTCAAGGGAACTGCAAATGCACCGTTGTCATGGAATTTAATGCGTCCTGAATCAGTGGTGGCTGTCGTTTATTTTTTTAAATGTGATATGTCCCCGTCTAACACATTATTAAAGATGGTATCTCAGCCTTGCAACAAATGAACAGAGCTACTCCCAGCACATCAAATCAGAAAAAGAACATTTGTCCAAGTTCTTATCTGGCACCTACTGTTTGATCTCACGGAGGACTACAGGGAATAACAGATGAGACTCGCATTCACGAAGTCACAATCGGAGAAGAGAGCAGGACAGACAGAAAGGGAGTTTCCAATACTTCTCCAGCATGCTTGCAGAGAGTAACACCACACAATCCCAACATCACCGAGGGATGGGCATCCTTACCCTTGCTGCTGCGTCTGTTAGCACAGCTAAGGCCTGAGACAGTTGGTGGAAGACTTCCGCTGGGAATTAGAAGAAAAAAGGGTAAGATGCAGAAAACCATGCCAGTGGCCTGGAGGCGAACCAGAAAAGACAATCCCTTATGGAAGAGACCTGCAGAACATCAGAAAGAAGAATAATCCTTCCAAAGCCTTCGTAAGCCAGTCTATAGCCAGGATCACCTCAACTCAGAGGACAGCTCTTATTACATAAACTTTAGTGTAAGAAACAAAAAACCAAAAACTGTGACCATTTCATTTTACTGGCAATCCTGCCAACATGAATTCAACAGAACCCATCTACAGAAATGGATTACTCAACTTGCAGTCAGTCTGAAATACACAGTTACAAAAAATTTCTCCCTTTCATACAAATAGTTTTTCAGCTTTGCATTTTACATCAATATTGCTGACCTCCTTCCTGGAAGGTTACACATATAAGCTGGAGGCCCCCTCATACACTTCAAATCACTCCTGCAGACATCAAAGCCCTCAGCTTGCCTCTCATTGCTGCTAAAATATTTTTTTTTGGTGGAAAAATTCTCTCTGTACTACAGTTATAAATTTTCAATGCATAAGGCTGTAGCCTATCTATCAAATTTGAAAATGCAAGATACAGAGCCAAGTTTATTTTGAGGTGTCTCGATGAACAGCATCCTTCTAGTTACCACTGCTGTTCACTGCTACCTGTAGCCACCAAATTTAAAGGGAGTAGCTGCAGAAGCCAGCCCTTGCTAACAGGTTAGGTATACTCAGTTCCAGAGACTCAGGGCCTTGTCTCTAAGACAAAAAATGGAAATTACCCATACATAATATGATTTATAAGCTGGCTATTGATGTTTTGACTGAGAGAGATATGAATTAAAACAGTGACCAGCCAGTAAACACTGGGGACAGCATGGTCAAAGGTCCAGGATTCATGTACTGGGTGGGAAGGTTTTGAGAGGTGCAAATAAAATTTCAGCACTGACATAACATTGATGTAAAACCAACATGTATTCATTCAACCTTAAAAAACAGAGCTCTGATAGTGATGAAAATAACTCTTAGTCCTTCATATGTATACTTCACATGACATATACCCAGGCATTCCCTTAATTACATGCAAAGACAGACCTGAAGTTAAGCAGAGCCACTTCCAGGAGTCTGCGCACATGAGAACAAACGTGAAGAGTTGTTTGTGTCTGCACAGCCCCATCCTACCTGCTCGGGGATTGTCCGGGTTCTTATCTGGGTGACAAGTCAGGGCCTTCTGCCGGTACGCTTTCTTAACCTGCAAGAGTCAGAGTTGAGATTTGCTCAATTCGGTTGATGCTGTTTGGTCTGTGTTGAGAAAAGCAACTTGGGGAAGAAAAAAAACCAAACCAACAAACCCAAAACCAAACCGCTGCAGAAGTGAAAAATTACTGTTCAGAGGGTTTCTTTTGTTGTTTTTGATTAATTTAAGCCACCTCCCTATCATAAGTAGAAGACTGTGGTTGAACCAACATCCATTTGCATGACTAGATGTCCCCCAGGCCCAACAGAAAATGAAGACCATGTCTGGAGTGCCAATAGCCCCATTACTCCTCATACTGAAAGGCAAAGCAGCCTACTCCAACAGCAAGACACCTCTGAAGAGCTCAGTTTTCAAACTCAACGCAGTGACTTGTCCTTTTTAATCACACTGTACTGCAAGGATAAGCATTTCAGCCCTGGACACTTAGCAGGCAGGCAGCCATATTTTGCACGAGTCTAAGCTTTTCAAAGCCCAAAGTTTTACTTCTAGGTGGATTGTATTACAACAGTCAAACCTCACAATCGTCAAAGCCAAGTCTGGTTCACAGAGGCAGTTTTCTAGCCAGAGGGATACCCTGTTCCTTGCAGCTGTAACTTTGCGACAGAGAAAGTACCATGTACTTTGCAACAATTGAGTTTGGCAAGGTGAGGACATTTTGACCAACGCCTGTTTAATCTCTTCTACACTTCAAAGACTGACAACTGTCTGAGCTGAGCCACTTCCAACAATCTGAGCTCCCCTTGTCAGGGAAGCATCTGCGTGCAAGGAAGGAAAGGAGGAAAAGCCGCAGGGTTCTGCTGCCAAGCTGTCCTCTGCTAGAATGAGTGGAACAAGTGGTGGCCCTGCACCACCTGGTGGACAAGGCTCTTGGAAGGGAAACATGCAGCTGAAACCTGACGGCCTAATGCCATCTCCTGCCTAAGCAGGTCTCCAGCTGAGAGAGAGGTAAGTCTCCTCCCTGTGCATCAGTTACTACAATAAACCACTCTACGTGGCAAGTTCAGGTGAGGCTTCTCTAAACAGTGAGGTTAAATTACTTTAACAGCCTTGCTCCCCTTTGTTCGTGTCTTTTGGCCACGCTGCTCTGCAAAGGGTCTGTGGGTTGCTGCGAGTACTTTACATCAAGGATTAGCACTCCAAATTACACCTGTCAGGTTTTTAAGTTAAACCATAACATTCATTTTCTCATCTTTTTTCCCCAGTGACCAGGTCAGCAGCGAAGCTGAGGTCACCCAAAGTCTTATTTCATTTCATTCCATTCAATCCTGTGCGTTACACTCGGCTCATTCCCCCGTTTTGTGCTTCATGCAGGTGGAACTCCCAGGCAGCCTCAGACACAATTGCTGGTTGAGCCCAGACTGTAGCTTCCAGCTTTTACCCTGTTATACTGCTACTGCTCTTTATTGCCAAAGAAAACAAAAAACAAAAAAAACCCAACAACAAAACCAAGGAGAAAGCCTAAGGAAGAAAAATCAAAGATTTCCTCTCAAGTTTAAGTTCGCTCAGTTATGAGTAGTTTTACTCAGAGCCTTATTTCCCTTGGAAAGGTCACTTGCCCAGCTTCGTTGCTGAAATCTTGTGTTCAGTGTTGACCTTCCAATTAAATTACAGAAAAACATAAACATGTCATTCCAAACCCACAAAATTAACAAAGACGACGTATGGCATTCAGCACCTAAACCAGCCTCCAACACCCGGACTTTGGGTACGCGCAGGAGCAGCTTTCCTTCTGAGGGCACATCGACCAACGAGGCGAGAGAAGGAACGCCGGAGTTTCACAGCTCTCTCCGACCGATTTCGCGCTCTTCCAAAGCCAGGCCTCGCCCCACAGGCTTACGAGGGGAGGAGGGAAGGGTCAGTGGAGGGCAGAAAGCCACCGTCGGAACAGACGCACTTTCCCACGTACCAACGGCTCC